CGCCTTACTGCTTTTCCCAGATGGCTCACCCATCACTATTTATCTGAGAAAGTAGAGTCTGTTTTGGGAAAAGTCTCTTAAAGAACAAAATGGTTGAAGAAAGAAAAGGAACCACAGTAATCATGACCATAGCATGAAAAATTGCTACAAATAAGTCGCACATGTGGAAATCCTGAGCTTTCACTTCAGCTCACAGCCTGTGCCTTGCATTCCTCAGACACTTTCAGGGGCCTCTTTGCAAGATAAACTTTTTCTACTTAAAATCAGACATTTTTATTCTTTAAGAGCCAAAATTCAATATATGAATTCTTCTGTCAAAAATAGATTTGTTTATTAAATCACCTATGTAGAAGAATGATGGCAACTGTTTGGCTAGTGCAAATTGTGGGATGTTAGCAAGCTTCCTATTGCAGGTGGGATATCTTGCTGCTGTCTATGAACACAAAGGAAATATAATACTGTTCATTTACACCAAAGCAAGAGGCAAAACAAGAGCTCAAAGAACAGGTAACAGGATGGATAAATTGTAAACAAAGATCCTGCCCTCACCTTAGCACTATAGGTCCACCCCCACCTAAATATAGCAGTATACGACGAACACTTAAATTCCATTTCACCCTTAGAACTGGAAGAAAAGATAATACAAATATTCTTAGAGAAAATCTACAGGGGAAAAATAGATATACTAGGATAGGTGCTATGCTCGTAAGTTGATAAGCAAGTGTTTATTTTTACTCTAAATTTAGAAACCCAATGAAGCATAACAGTGCAATAAATAATTTCTTCCTATTTACAAATATTATAACTAATCAGACATGTCAGTTGATCATGCCATACAATGCTCATCAGGCCTTCTCATATCACATGTGAAACATAGAAGAGCATTGTCTTAATTTTTCATTGCATTCAAACAAGGAAAAAAATGAAGCAAGGAAAAAAGGGTACGAGCTTGGTATTAACAGAGCTCCTAAGTCTGGAATTGAACCAATTTAACAAGTGTTTAGAGGATGCCTCCTACAGGTGACTATAGGTAAGTCTGGCACTCTTGTTTTTAAAAGGGTGGGGAAAAAATAAATCCATAAATATCTCAAAGTAGACCACAAGTACAATTGAGGACAAAGTACCAAGAAGATTCAAGTAGGAAAGGATGATGTTTGGCTGTGGAAGAACCCGACAGGTTTCATGAAAATAGACTGTACCTTCCCAAAGAATGTTGTACAGGAAGAGTGAGTCCAGGCAGCAAGGACAGCTGAGCTGGGCAAGGTCCTGAGGCCCCAAGAGACCCTTTCCACCTCTTTCCCTTGCCCCTGCTTCAACATAAGGTCATTGTTGGGGACAGAAAGCCAGGTTAAGATCCCTGTTATATTACTAGCGCCTTTCCACAAAGAAGTCTGTGGTCTTCCTGCCATTCCTCTATTTTTAAAAAGATTATTCTAATAACAACAATAGAAATATATATGTGTATATGTATACACACATAATATATAAACACAATTACACACACACACACACACACACATATACATAAACAAAAACAAAAGGAAAAAGGACACCAAACGCCACTACTCTCTTTACTTGGCTTAAGAAATTTTCTCTCCAGAAATAAGTTATAAAATTCTGGTATCCATGTTTAAACAAATCTTTTAATAATATATATATATATATATATATAGCATTAAATCTAATATATATAGACTAGCACACACACATAAGTAGATTAAAGGGGATATTTTATATTATTAACTTGTTTCTTAAATATCTTGGTATCTTTTTAGGATGGTATCAAAGTGAGAAAGTTAACAATGGTGCTACTTCTTTGAAATGCCCATGGAAATTCTGACTTACTGGACATTCTTACAAACCCTCTGAATTTATCAGCAGAAAGATAACCAAGAAAATTCTCATCAAAAATGTTTCAGAACACTGCATCTAGATCCACACTTTCAAATACAGAAGCCACTAAAATAGTTGGCTCTTTTAAATTAAAAGTTAATTAAATATAAATAAAAATTCAGTTCCTCAGTCACATCTGAAGGGCTCGATAGCCACATGTGGCTATTCACAACTATACTGCACATCACAGGTATAAACATTTCCATCCTTGCAGAAAGTTCTGTGGAACAAAGCCCATAGTAAATAAGCCTAGGATTTGTATTTCATGTGGCTGAAGAATGGAAGTTAGTCACATAGGCCTCACAGGTGACCAACAGAAAATAAAAATAAAAACCACCCAAATCTAAATGGCTCCCTCTGTGCCAACATGAGCCTCATGTAGTATATGGCACTTGTGAGTTACTCTGAACCCAGACAGCCTCCGGGTATCTCAACAGAGGCACCAGAGAGCAAACAGACTCAGCTTCTCGGAATCCCTGCACTTACTGGCTGTTTCCTGCATGTGTCCTTCAGACATAATTAGCAAAGTGTGGGTAACTTTACTAACATATGTTTCATAGGTCAAAGTCACAGTCTTATGTTCTCTCTTGGGTTAATATCTGTGACTGTAGAATAGTATTCAATTGAATGCAAATGAATTGAATAAATGTACTAAAGTTTTTTTTAACCATAAACCCATTGAAAGACATTTAAGCAGCTTTGAGTATTTTGCTTTCATAAATACACTGCAGTGAATGCTCACATACAGAAATCTCTGATATATTCAGGCTGTAATTCCATAGGGCAAAATGCCAGAAGCGATTTTGCTGAGTTATAAGGATATGAACATTTGTAATTTTAATAGATACTGCAAATTACCTTTCTAAAGAGTTATATCAATTTATTCTCCTTCTAATAGTATGGTAAATCCCCTTTTATCCACACTATTCCCGTCACTGGATATTATCTGTCTTATTACTTTTTGCCAATATGATGGGTTTTATTTGCTGTTTCTTCATCATTAGTGAGGCTAAGGATCTATTTACATGTTAATTGGCAATGTGAAGATCCATAAGTTGTCTTTTCAGGGCGTTTTTTTTTATGTGTTGCCATTTTATTTGTTGATATTTATAGACTAGTTTGCCTTGCAGTTGAGTTATAGGAAGTACTGGTTTACTGATGTTACTTTTCATTTTATATGCAACAATATCTATCTTCCTTGAGCAACCCCCTCTTACCCAATTCTCTTTACCACTGTGTTTACTTGGTTTTACATGTCTTTTGCCATTAGTTTTTATATAGTCAAATCTGACTCTATCAGTCTTTTAAGACTTGGAGTTTTTAGGTCTCTCTTGTTTCCCTACTTTAAAATCTTTCTGCATTTTCTTTTAAATCTTTCATATTTTCTTTTTTACATATCAAACTATAATCTATATGGTATTTATTTTTGTATATGGTCAGAGATAAACTCCAACTTAATTTTTTTACAAATAGCCAATTGTTTCAGTACCATTTTCTGGAAAAATAATTTTTTCTCCATTGATTTGATATATCACATTTATTGTATATTCATGTCTTATAAATAATTTGACCTATTTCTGGACTCTTATTTTAATTAACAATTTACCTACACTATTCTCTCTTTTAAATTGCAAAAATCACATGGACTTCAGGAAATTCAGGGTTATAATTCTAATGAAATGCCCTATCTTCATCAATCAAGGCCAGAGCCAGTGACTAGGAAAACATGGATTCAGGGGTTGCCATATGATTTACAGTCTACCCCTGTCACCAGCTCTGATATAACCTCCTCAATAGCAGCACTATATTTGCACGTGACAGACACTACATAAATATCTGTTGAATGTACTAATGTATAACAGTGAGGTTCAGCTGACACAGATAAAATATATAATTTACAAGTCAATCTGATCAATGTCAAGTTCAACTTATTAAAAATAAATTCTAGAAAGGACAAATGGTAATTTGTATTACTGAAAGAATACAGCAACTTCACTATAGCTATTAAAACAGCATATCTCCTTTTTAAATTTTGTTCCAGTGTATTTGACAGACTCTCTCCCACTTTCCAAAAGAACTGTAACATTCCTTTATTCTCCTCTCAAATCTCCCACCAGAAAAAAAAAAAAAAACTTTCACATTTTCCCACTACACTACCCTATCTTTGCCCTCCCTCTAATTAGAATAAATGCCCTTGGTTAGGTCAAACCCTCCCAGTAAGAATAAATCCCAGTGTCTTTTCATAGCCTATAAAGTTGTGATCTGAGCCCTGCCTATCTATCCAACTGCATCTCTCACCACTAAATCACTCATTCTTTTCCAGCAAAAATAAATGGACTATGAATAAGTGAATAAATATAATGGTGCCTTGCTATGCTTCACGAACACATCAATCTAATTTCTACCTCAGGATCTTTTGTCTAGTTCTTCCTTCTGCTCCGTAATATTGTATCTGCAGAGCATGGTTCCTGTTTCATTTAAGCCTCTTCTCCAAAGTTACCTTCTATTGTTTAATCCTGCTTTATCTTCCTTCATAGTACTTAATACTATCTTAAATTCTACTGCATGTTTAATATTAAATACCTTTTTATTTTATTTTTTTTAAATATTTATTTTTTAGTCATAGTTGTAAACAATACCTTTATTCATTTATTTTTATGTGGTGCTGGAGATGGAACCCAGGCCCTCACACATGGGAGGTGAGCACTCTACTGCTGAGCCACAACCCCAGACCCCTTTTTTAAAATTTTTAAAATATTTTTTTAGTTGTAGATGGACACAATACCTTTATTTAATTAATTTATTTTTTATGTGGTACTGAGGATTGAACCCAGGGCCTCACACATGCTAGGCAAGCCCTCTACCACTGAGCCAGAACCCCAACCCTATCAAACATGTTAACTAAGATGTAAGCTATATGAAAGCATGGATCTTTTTTTTTTTTTTAAATCCTCAGAATTTTGAACAATGCCTAGCATAGTAGGTACTCGTTGAATACTTGGTGAAGAAATGAGTAAACAAACGTGTACAGATCTGACTATCTGACTAACTGACCCTGGCTTAATACACAATCCAAATGGACAGAGCTGTTCCTGAGCACTACTCACTTTTCGCTGTTTCACAGAATCCAATTTTATGAGCCAATATGAAGCCACTTTTGTTTTATGATACTTCCAGTTATCGATGATCTGTTTGGGGGAAGAAACATTAAGAATTTATTCCAGAATGTTCATTGAAAATAATACATGAAAAATAAAGGGGTGAAAGACAATTTTATTAATTAATTTGTGGGATGAAAGCAATATAATAACACTCATAATAAAGAATGACAACTTTCAGAAAAAGACATGTGCGAAGACCTACAACATGAAATACAGAAAGTATTTGAATCCACAGCTGTCTCTTCTTGTTGTACCAATAACACAATCTACAATGAGTGGAAAGCAGAAGTCTTCAGGCACATATGTTTTGGGAAGAAACCCAAGACATAGATTTTCTATCTTTATTCCCAGGGCTGTAATAACCACATCATCCATAGTAATAGAATATTGAATAATGCATTAGAAGGTAGCTTATATTTAATTAGGATTCTGCTATCTCTTTCTTTTGTATACATCTACAGAATTTCTAAATACATAGCCTAATAATATATACTACAGCAAACAGAATAAAGAACTGCATATAGTGAACATGTAGCAATCTTATGTCAACTATTAATTATATAAACCTTTATAGGTTCTTTATAGAACAGTCACATTAGCCACAGATATTAGCTCTACTCTATGACTGTCTAGTTTTCTTCTGATTCAAAGCAGCAAAATATAATTAATATCTCTAAGAAATACATAAAATGATGAGTGTCTAGTACAGTCATTGGCTTTACTTAGAAAAGAACTTGATTGAATAAGATAGCATACATAAATAAAAAATACATCTAGCATAATACGTTACTGCCAGTGTCTATTTTTCTTCCCTTTTCTTTTATGTAATATGTATCGCCTCACTTCAAACAAGATGCCATTTTAGTAATATATATCAACAAAATGCATAATATTTGGGGTTTATAATTTGTAATTACGTCATAATTACTAAATATAAATTGTTATTGTGTATTTTTTAAACCAAAGAAGATTTTTTCACTGTTTTTTGTTTTTGTTTGTATATACTTGCTTTAGGCCGAAAGTAATGCTAAAAATTTTAAAAAGGCCAAGTGTGGATTTTTATTCTACAGTTGACCACTAGATGGTGCCTAGTTCTCTGTAAAAACCAAAACATCCCCCTCCCCCACACCCCTTTCCCCCAACAAGAGGATCCCAGCAAACAATGTTTCATTACAGAGGAATTATCTAAAAATAACCATTTAAAAAGCATGCTTGAATAAAGAAATGGAAACTTGAGTGAGAAAATGCTATTTCACCAAAAATATCTTAATAACTTTGACCTTTTATGAATGAGATGTTAAGTTGACTCTCAAGTATTCAGGATTCTTTGCCATTTTATAATGGTCCACTAGATGGTGCAAATGTGCATGTAAAAAGAAAAACACAATTCAGCATACGCTATTTCAAAATTTGACCAAAAACTGTGAAACTCAAAATATCTTTTTATGTCAGGGCCCCAATTTTTTTCATCACACCTCAGATCTAAATTTTAATAAAAGATTTTAATGTGATATTTCTTTAATCGCTAGGAATAGTAATTATTTAATGCTAATTATTTTTTCACTTGATGAAAGTCTTATTAAAATAGGACTTTATACTGAGCATTGTTGATTATAAATGAGATGTTGCTGTTCCTGAATCATAGTAATTAAAATAATTCCCTATATTTTGTAAAGCTTCTAGAAGCTGAAAAGAAGCTCAATTAATTTTGGTCATTGAGATATAATGCTACCAATAAATAAATTTTACTATTCAAAGAATAAATAAATGCTCCTTGATATTTTAAATATATCAAAGACTCACATCTTCTATCAGAAGTTCTGATTCTGCATCTGACTTCCCTGGAAACCGGATCCTCATGTCTTTGAGAACAAATAAGGTCTGACTTGTTAAATCTTCGTCTTGTTCTTTTGATTTCAGTTGCCGCAAAGTCTCACTCTTAAATTTGAAAGAATACAGATATTTGGAGGGGGTCTTATTTCATTGTGCCAGTATAATCTGAAAGATATTTCTAGGTAAAAATGATGCACTTTTAATTGAAAAATAATAATAAAAGGAAAAATATATTTTTATATTTAAAAATTCTTGTCATTAAATGGATATAAATATCAAGGGTAGCTTTCATGTTTCTACATGGTTATGTTTTATTTTGCTCAAAGAACTAAAATAAAAATATGAATAATTAAAAATGACTTCCTGGTCAGTTTCATTTGCTACATATACATTAGACAACTGTGAATTAGAAAAAATATTTAGTCATCATCGCCAAAAGAAATTCATCTTCTCTTTGGAAACAACAACATTAAATAAATAAATGAACTAATTAAATCCCTGGTCTATATGAAGGTACTTGGTTGCAAAATAAATCCACTGACTTATTTAATTCTAAATTTATGGAATTCACACTAAAGAGAGAATGTTGTATGTTAATTTATATATTTATAATAAACAACATATAAACAATATTGTACTTTGCTCTAAGAAGCACTAACATATCCGTTATAAACAAGATTGTTAATTAAGTGCACTAAGGAGAACTTATCAATATTTTTTCAATCTATTAATCAATAGTCCTGGTAAGTGAAATTTTCTATATAAGAAATTTTTTGAAATTTACAGACAGACTACATAACATACTACAAAACCATACATTCACTCAGATGATTTTCAACAATATTATCCTACTACATCAGCAAGTAGAAAATAAAATAATGCTATTCTCAGTTTCATCTTTGAGTTCTGTGATAAAGTCTGTATTCTAAAAGTCCATTCTAAGTTGTAGCCTAAAATAGATGAGTAATTCCAATGCCAGGAGGTCATGAATTGAACCTCAGAAAGGATCTGAGGCTCAACCTCTTCTCCTGGAAGCAGATTCCCTTTGCCACCAAGATTCAGAGTACAGTCTGAAATCCTGAAAAGGCAAAGCAGATGACTTACCACCTCAGAGTTGGCAGAGTTGGCTTCATTACCAGGAGGGAGCTGTTTCATGTAGGAGGAAGCACGATTTAAGGAATGTGACCGAGATGCTGAAGTTGGCCGTGATATTGATATCACTTGTTGAGCAGAAACAGGGCGAATGTCCCCCATGGGAGGTGAGTGAGTAGAGATGGACCGAGGGCAACTGACTGACCTCCTCATGGAATCTATCAATGATGGAAAAGAGGGAAGTATAGTAGTGGTGTAAGTAGAAGTTTCCCGCTGTAGCAAGTCTTTATAAACCAAAGATCAAACTAGGTGGCAGTAGAGTGGCGGTAAATGTCAAAGCACAGACATTATCATGAAAATATAAATTTGGAGTTAATTCTTAAATTTAAACAACAAATTTGGTGTAGAACCTCACTAGTGTACAAAGAATGGCTCTTATGGGATAACACTATAAACAGTACTTTAATGTTATGTTCTCAAAACATTACATAAAAGAACTAGAAGAAAGGAAATTAACAGTGATGGAGCACCTTCTATAGGCCAGGTATATCATGCTCACAGAAGTCCTCTGAAGAATATAATCCTAATGGCCCAAAGGCTAAGAGACACACACCAACATGGTGGAGAGCTCAGGCTTAAATCTTTACCTATCCAGATCCAATGGCCTCCCTCTTTCTATAATATCATGATATGCCATCTACCCTTCTTGGGACAAGACTGGTCACTTATTAGAACCTAGGTATAAGCTAGAGATTGAATATTATTATAAGATTTGTAGGAAGGACAGGAAAGAGTCTAGAAAACGCTCAGGATAAATACGTAAGTTAGAGAATATAGGCCCTTGTAGAAAAATATAAAGATTATTCTAATGGAATTTAAATATATAATTGGTTATTATAAAATAATACTAAACAATCTTATTTACAGAAATGAATAAAAAATAGATTAAATTTCAATAGTTAAAAATCTAAATGAAGAAAACATATGGATTTATAGAATTGTTACCAGAACAATTATTCAGGGGGGAAAAAAAAACAGAATATTTTCCTCCAATGTACACTGAGAATATATAAGAAAGAGATCCACTTGTTCCTGATAAAATGTGCCTATTGACTCTGGGAAACAGATTATCACTCAATACTATCAATATTTTTTAATCTCTTTTTAATTCATCTGTTCTGTATAACCTCTGTTTCATTTAGTCTGTCTCTCTCCTCTCTGCCCCCCCCCTTGGGGAATATATCAATCTTCATTAATTAAATAATTTTATAAAATCAGGAAAAATACCCAAACATTTCTCTCTGTTAGGAAAACTATCCCATTCACAAGAGCCTCAAATAAAATACTTGGGAATCAACCTAACAAAAGAGGTGAAGGAACTCCACAATGAAAACTACACAACACTGAAGAAAGAAATTGAGGAAGACCATAGAAGATGAAAAGACCCCCCCACACACACCATGTTCTTGGATAGGCAGAATTAATATTATCAAAATGCTATACATTGCTGGTGGGACTGAAAATTGGTGCGATCACTATGGGAAGCAGTATGAAGATTCCTCAGAAAACTTGGAATGCAACCATCATTTGATCCACTTGAAATGGAATTACCCTTTGACACACTCTGAGGTATATACCCAAAGGATTTAAAATCAGCATACAACAGTGATGCAGCCATACCAATGTTTAGAGCAACTCAATTCACAACGACTAACCTATGGAACCATCTGTTGCCCTTCAACAGATGAATGGATAATGAAATTTTGGTATATATGCACAATGAAATATTAAACTGCCTTAAGAATGAATGAAATTATAGCATTTGCCAGTAAATGGATGAAAATGGAGAATATTATGCTAATCAAAATAAGCCAACCCCAAAGAATCAAAGCCCAAATGTTTTCTTTGAGATGCAGATGCTAATTCAAAATAAGTTTCAGGGGGAGAATAGAGGTATTTTGGATTAGACAGAGGGGAGTAAACAGGGAGGAGGGGTTATGGGGATAGGAAGGAGAGTAGAATGAATCAGATATTATGATCCTACATGCGTATATGATTACACAACCTGTGTAACTCTACATCCTGTACAACCAAGAGAATGAGAAGTTATACTCCATTTTTATATGATGTGTCAAAAATGCCTTCTACTGTCATGTATAACAAATTAGAACAAATAAAAAAGAATTTAAATGGTCATACCACCAAAAGCACTACACAGAGTCAACCCAATTCCCAACAAAATTCCAACTACATTCTTCATAGAAATAGAAGAGGCAGTCATGAAATTCATCTGGAAAAATAAGAGGCCCAGAAGAGTCAAAGCAATCCTTCCTGAGAAAAGTGAAGCAGGAGGCATCACAATCTCAGACCTTACATTATACCACAGAGTGACAGTAATAAAAAACAGAATGATACTGACACCTAAACAAGCAAGAACACCAATGGAACAGAATAGAAGACCCAGAGACAATACAGAAATACAGTTATCTCATACTAGATAAATGCACAAAAAAAAATGAACACTGAAGAAAAGAAAGCCCCTTCAATTAAGGTGCTGGGAAAACTGGAAATTCCTGTATGAAATTTAACCCCTTTCTCTTACCCTGTATAAAACTCAACTCAAAGTGGACCAAAGATCTAGGAATTAGAGCAGAATCCCTACACATACTAGAAGAAGATGTATGCCCAACACTCCAACATGTTGGCTCAGGAACTGGCTTCCTTAACAAGACTCCTACAGTTCAAGAAGTAAAATCAATAATCAGTAAATGGTATGGCACTAAACTAAAAAGCTTTTTCACAGCAAAGGAAACAATCAAAAATGTAAAGAGAGAGCCTATGGAATAGGAAAAAAGTTCTTTGCCACCTGCACCTCAGATAGAGTGTTAACCTCTAGAATATATAAAGAACTTAAAAAGCTTAACACCAAAAAAAAATTCCAGTCAATAAATGGGCAAATGAACTGAACAGACACTTCACAGAAGAAGAAAAAAGAATGGTTAACAAATATATGAAAAAATGTTCAACATCTCTAGCAGTTAAAGAAATGCAAACTAAAACTACACTGAGATTTCATCTCACTCCAGTCAGAATGGCAATTATCAAGAATGCAGCAACAATAAACGTTGGTGAGAACGTGAAGAAGGCACACTCATACATTGCTGGTGAGACTGCAAATTGGTGCAACCACAATGGACAGTCATATGGAGTTTTCTTAAAAAAAAAAAAAACTAGGAATGGAACTACCATTTGACCCAGCTTTCCCACCATTTGGTACATATCTAAAGGGTTTAAACTCAGCTTACTAGAGTGATGCAGACACATCAATGTTTGTAACAGCTCAATTCACAATAGGTAAGCTACAGAACCAACCTAGGTGCCCTTTAGCAGATGAATGGATAAAGAAAATATGGTATATATGGTACCAGGGAGTATTACTCAGCCATAAAGAATTACTTTATGACACTTGCAAGGAAATGAATGGATCTAGAGATTATCGTGCTAATTGAAATATGCCAGCCCCAAAAAGCCAAAGTTCAAATGTTTTCACTGATATGTGGATGCTAATCCATAATAATAGGGGGAGAAGGGAATAACATATTCAGTGGATTAGACAAAGGGAATAAAGGAAAGAGAGGAGAATAGGGAAAGGAAAGACAGCAGAATGAATCCAAAATAAATTTCCCTTGTACATATATGAATACACCATAGTGACTCCCACCATTATGTACATCCATAAGAATGGAGTCCTAATTAGAACAGTATATATTCCATGCTTGTATAATTATATCAAAATGAATTCTACTGTCAGGTTTAGCTGAAAAGAACCAACAGAGTAAATTAATTAATAAAGCACATTGCTTTTGCTGGGTGCAGTGATACACATCTGTTATCCCTATGATTTGGTGGCTGAAGCAGGAGAATGGCAAGTTCAAAGGGCTATGTTTTGGTTTGATCTGAGGTAATCACATAAGAAACTATATAAAATACTTTCCTTAGTAAGACCCTCAGCAATTCAGTGAGATCTTGTCTCAAAATCTTAAAAAAAAAAAAAATTAAGTTCTGGGGATGTAGCTCAGTGGTAAAGTACTAAAATGAAAAAAGAAAAGCCAGCAAAACACATTGCTTCTAGAGAAGTTACCAGTAGTTACTGGTCAGCCCATCTTTCTTTGTTTTTACAAAGAACTGGACATATTTAGTATGTTCAAAGAACAAGCTTCTACTAAGAAAATATCCCAAATCATTTCCTACTAACTACACTAGAGTCCTGATCACTTAACCTCAGAGCTTAAGGCGAAGGTGTGGATGTGTATAATTTGTCACAAAGCCGAGGAAAAGTAGTACAGATTCCCATTGCTCATCTGCAAACACAGAAAATTCATACAGAAAAAAACTAAAACAGTTGGACACCCCAATGATACTTGGTAGATTAACAAAAAATGGTTGTAACTTCCACAAATTACGTAAGGAAAGTATTTTATATAGTTTTTTATGTGATTATCTCATATCAAATCAAAACATACCCCCCTTTGAAACTATTACAAATCTGAACTTCCCAAGTTAACTATAGTGCTACATATAATCAGGATGATGTCTTGGTCATTTGCATCACTTCAGTGACAAAACTCAAGGAGAATTTGTTGGTACAATGTATAAGATTAAAGAGAATATAAAACAAGGTGAAACCCTTGTTATAATCCCTAATGAATATAAAAGAAAATACAACTAATAAGGAAAAAGATTTGTAACTGAATTGGGCTAGTTTAAAATGAACATTTATATTCAAAACATTTTTTTAAAACCCATACCCTGTTTTAGTACACAACTGTACTTATCTCAATTTTTTAATCTATTGATCTGAGAACCAAAAAGAATTTCAGAGCCTATAAGAACCCCAGTAATTTTTTTCTCTACCTTTCCTTTACCCCTCACTAGTTGATGTTGTTATGGATAGACAATTAGCTAGTAGGAGCAGCTGGCAAAAACTGACAACACTTGGGCAGGAAAATGTCAACTTCCAAAACAAAAACAGAGGCTTTTAACTGAAGACACACTGAAAGTACTTAAGGAATCCTTAAGAAAAAAAGGAGGTAGAATAGCTTACAAACTCTGGAAGAGGTGGTCGGTGAACACCCCTTAAACAAATGATACAGAACATAAAACACATTATTTCCAAATATACAAATGCTCAAAGAGCAGTCATAGGATGTAACTTTCTGGAATAATTTGGAAGTAAAATTAAGACCATTCCTCTAAAATCTATTCTTCATTCCACATGGAATTTGCCATAATCATGAAATACCAGTTTGGAGATATCCATATTACTGGAGACTTAACATATTAAGCCATTGCTGGAGATCAACAAAGGCTCACAATTCTGTTTACTACGTAACTGAACGTGTCCCTTTAAAAGAACCCTTCGACTTGGAACACTAGGCAAACAGTGCATACTGGAACATAATCACATATCAAAGGCAGGTGTTAAAAATAAAGTCCTGGATTGGAGATCAGTTATGTTGGACATCTGTGAATGAAAGAAGAATCACAAGGACAGTAGAGGGCACGTGGGATAGAATAAGGAATGAAAGACAGGAGAAAGGGAAATATGTGGAAAAAAAAGAGAGAAAAGGAAACAGAAAGAGAAGGAGACTGAGAAGTTGGTTGGGTGCTTTCCTAAATATTTCCTATGCACCAAAAGCCCTGACTTTAGTGCTTACCTGTGATGAAAATAGGAGGGAACAAAACTTCTACTATTTCACAATTGTGTGGCTCACAGATACATTCAAGTGAATTGCCTAGAGGGATACATACAGTTTAAAAAATAGGTGGTGGTATCAAACAAAGAGGGTGACAGGAGAGGGGGAAGTGGAAAATGACTACATGGGTTTTAAAAAACCATAACCAGCAGATGAGTCGTCAGGCACATTTTGAAAGACCCATGCAAAACTGCAATACTTAAAAACCATGAAATATAGATGGGTGGATCCTTAAGGTAAGCCTATTGTTTTCTATTTGCAGAACCTGACAGGGCTTGATGGATGTATATGCCCAAGTCTAGGTAGGGAAGGAAATTGGGTAGAATCCAGGTCTTCTCACACACAAGGGTTCATTTGGTCCAAGGACCTTTTATTGAGTTTAATAAATTCAACTCCCTAATTCTTCATATATTTAGTTAACTTGGAAGAAAATGACTTACTGGATTGTTGAACTAATTTGCAGTGGTTGGAGTGCTTAAGATCATATGGAACTTGCTCTTCATCTCCTTTCTTATTTTGATATTCTTCGTTTTCGTCAGATTCTGAGGAGCTGCCGCTACTCTCATAACTGCTGTCGCTGCTGCAATACTTCTGCTTTTTCATTACCTCGGAACTCTCTGGCATAGAACATAGAGGCTGAAACAGAGGCAAATGTGTTATTCTGCTAGAATTTTTCAAAAGGCTCATTAACATGATTAGATGCTATTTTTAATTTCCCCTTCGCTTGCTGCTTTTCACTGAAGGCTACTGCTGTAGACTGCTCAGCCTACAGAGCACTCACGGATTGTCGTTCCTGCAAAATACGCTTTCTTAAATAATATAGCTCAGTCATGAAAAATGTTTCTACGTGATCATAACAAAGACCAGAAGTATCTGTAAACAAGAATAAAAAAAAGAAAACTAAGGGAAAACGTGATATAAAGATATCAAAATCACAAAGGTAATTGGCTTTTCTTCATTCCATACCAAGTCACTCAGTAAACGTGGGGGTGGAGGGAGAAAGGCTGCAAAGGAAGAAGAACAAAAAGAGCACAAAGCAACAACCAGAGAAGCCTCTATAAGTAAGGCCACATCTTAAAACAGAGCCCTAAGGCACAACAAGAACAAGGTACTAATTTGCTGTGGATGATATTAGTCAGTCCTGTTGCTGGGAATTGATCCTGGTACACACTAAGCACACACTCTACTACTGAGCTATACCCCCTGACCCTTTTCATATATAAAAATGAAAAGTTTTAGCTAATTATCTATTTCTCAAATGGGTCATGAACACCTCATGTCTCTTCTCAGAGGACTCCTTACTTTGATAATCCCAGTCTGGCCATAAGGGAGTCACACTGCTTTTATTGCCAGTGCTACAATTTACAAAATGATAATAAAGTGAAGATCAGTTTGACATGGATATTTTTAGAGGATGGGACCTAGGTCAAAGGTAGGTAGATCTGTAAAGACTTAAAACGTCCTCTTAGTATGTTTCAGGATCTCATCAGAATCATTGTTTCCCATCCTCCCAATCAATGAGTTTCCAAAGAGGCCAGCTGAAGTTACAGGAAAAGGCATGGGACAGCATCACTTCAGAAAGAATGCACAGGACCGAGAACAGGACGGTTCTGTGATGCAGTCATTTTAACAGACAATTTGTTACACACACACTTTGCCTCCTATTTCTCTGGGAGAGGTTCCTGCCATTGCATACGAGAGGCTTGTGTTAAATCAAATAAAGAGGTTTTGATGTTAGCATACATGATAATGAAATCCTTGCATACCATGGGATTTCACTGAAAAGAAGTATATTCTCCAGTGTAATCGTGTAGGATAAAAGACAGAGAAATGGCACTTCGTGAAGTGCCTGGAATACATAGTAAGCCAAAGCATGAGCTTCTTAAAGTTGCAGGCTTTGCAAGGATGAAATATAACCAGAGCAGGAAAGGGGTTTAATACACCAAGGCACACTTGTGTTTCAACACTTGTTCTCCTTTTGATAGTTTAATCTTCACTGAGCACTAACAATGTTCAAAGAGAGGTGCATAAAAACATTTACCAGTAACACAATCATCAAACATTTTGACAATGTTAGGAAATATGATCTCTAGGGGAAGGATGTTGCTCCAAAGGTTTAGCACACACAGAAGAAACAGCAGCACACTCGGACTTGCTAGAAGTACCTTCCCTCAGGCAGCAAGCATTTTAAGGTTTCTTAAGGAGCCTGACTACATAATGAGTTGTCTGACCCTATGAAGAACCATAGGGGAAAGAAAACCACCACAGAAACTTTGTGTCATATATGCATTTGGGACTTTATGACCAAGACACTGTTCAAGTAATTAATTAGAAATCACAGCTGAATAAACTTTCAATAGTGCCTCCACTATAAAATGGAATTTGGAAATAGGCATTGAGTTTGACACAAACCATACTACTTAGCTTTATGTGCAATTTTACAATAAAATCAGTCTTATGTAAAATATCTGTAAAGAATAAGGTAAATATCCATATATTTACCATCCATCTTAAGAAGAAGGAGGTTGCTGGTATTATATGTGGCATTTATCATTTATATGACTAATTAATATTTCTTAAATTCTAAAATAAGAAAAAAGTTAGTATTCCTCCTGATACAAATGAAAGTTTTATTTAACCTTGGTCATCTCCAAAAAAAGAGAGACCAATGTTTGGCACGCAGTATCAGCCCTCTAAAAAGGAAAATCTGCTTTGAAGTTTGCTCCATTTAGACCCTTGAAAACATAAACATAAAAGTTATAAAAATGCTTCTACTTCAAACTAATTATGCAGCTTTCAACTTTGAGATACTGCTGGCTTTAACAATTACAGGATACGCTCATTTCTTTTCATTTCAACAAATACATTTTTAGCTCTCACTACTTGCCTAAAATGAAAAGGATTAAAAAATATACAATGTTGGGCACAGCGGCACAACCCTATAATTCCAGCAGCTCAGGAAGCTAAGGCAGGAGGATCAGGAGTTCAAAACTAGCCTCAGCAAAGTGAGGCACTAAGCAACTCTCTGAGACCCTATCTCTAAATTTAAAAAATAGGGCTAGGGATGTGGCTCAGTGGTTGAGTGCCCCTGAGTTTAATCCCCAGTACCCAAAAATGTATGTAACATATATATATTTTTGTGTGTGTGTGTGTGTGTGTGTGTGTGTGTGTAGTACACACACACAATGTGAATTCTGCCCTATAAGAAGTTGTACTTTTGTTTGGATGGCCAATCTTAAAAAAAAAAAAAAGAGAGAGAGAGAGAGAGAGAGAGAGAGAGAGAGAGAGAGAGAGAGAAAATTTTAATATTTTATTTTTTAGTTCTCGGCAGACACAACATCTTTTGTTTGCATGTGGTGCTGAGGATTGTACCTGGGCTGCATGCATGCCAAGCAAGTGCACTACCGCTTGAGCCACATCCCCAGCCCCTGGCCAATCTTCTATGAGGGAAACAACAGTGTCTGACTACTTCGGGGCTTTTGCATTTGCCATTCTGCCATGTGCCCCCAGGAGGTTTGGTGTATGATTTGCCAAACTGCAATAACTGATACATAGGCTTAGAAACTTCCCAACATTTCCCAAAATAAAGCCATGATTTATGAAGGTATTCACTTCTACAAATAACTCCATGTTTGTTCCAAAGGAATTTTCAACTACCTATTCCTACAAACAGAGCAGATAATCAGAAAGCATCCTCCAAAATCTCCTTAGATATGATCTCTCACTAGACCCATCTTACACCATTTCACCCTCCAAGAACCTTCCACTTGAGTCATACCAAACTTTTCATTGTTTCTACAACACATCATCAAGTCTATCTATGCCTTTAAGTTTCCCTCTACCATGAATGTTCTTCCACCCCTTTTTAAAAATCCAGTTAAAACAGCAAAGCCTCTATAAGGTCATTCCCATTATAACTACTGATCCTATGCCACTATAGCACTTTACATTCTCTATTGTATATTTGCTACATGGTCTCCTGATTTGGGGTTTATCAATCTGCTCTTCTACTTGCCAAAGTTACAAATTGAACTAACAGAGTTTGAGAATTTATGATGTGCTAGGCAACGTTACACAGCAGAGATAAAAGATGAAAATGCACTTCCCACCTCAAGGAGCTCACCACCTTATACCAAGGCCAACAGGTAAATAGTTATTTGTTATAACTGCTCTGTAAAGTGTTGTTTATGGCACAGCAAGAGAAGGAGGGTAACTGTGTCAACTGGGAGAAAGAGGGCAGGTCTCACAAAGGCAGCAGATTAGGAAAGGGTCTCCAATCAAGCAACCAATCATGATTGATTGATTTTATTGATTGATTGATTGATTGATTGATTGGCAGGCTTTCCAGAGGCATGAAAAAGCATGACAGCACAACAGAGCATGATTATCTGACCATGCAGACATAGTTTAGTAATGTTGAAATACAAGGTAAAAGAAACAGGATGAAAAATGTTTCCAAGATTTTTCAAATTCAACTTTCTCCACTAGCAAAAATTTCAACAGATGTCAGAAAAACATACAGATGTCACCACAACAGAGAAGATGCATGTAAAGCAAACTCCTGCCCTTTCTTACCTACATGACACCTTATTATTTATTCCTAGGATCTGTACTTACTTTTATTAAAACACTATTGTTGTTGCTCACTCATTTATCAATATGAGTCTCCAGGGTCATGATTTTTCTTATCTCTAATGCTACATGTTTCCTTGATAATTATTGTCTAAAAGATAAAAAGAAAACTTAATAGTGACTTTAGAATAAGAACACTAGTTCTTGGACCCTCTTAGCCTGACTCCTAAGGTTCTCACTAGCACTTGGGGAAAAACCCAAGAAAAAGGAAATGAAACAAAACTCCTGAGTGCGAGATAGCACCATCTTCCCAACTCCACCTCCACTCCTTCAAAGTGGCACCACTCTTAAAATGAGAAATATCAAGGGAAAGCCAGCTGCACGTGGTAGCATTCACTTTTACATACGGGAAGGTTGAAATACTGCACCTTTGGTCCTCGAGGCCTGGTAGCTTTTCCCATCAATTTTTCATCATCAATTTCACACTGTTCCAGAAGATCCAAAATATCTTCCTCCTTCAAAAAACATTTTAATTTAAATCATGATCACTAATGGACTCTAAAATTTTTCCAACTTCATTAATCTTCATAAAATAATGTACAAGGAGCACTTTTAACTACTTAGTGAAGATCATTCAGATTAAAGAAGGGGAACTAAAGGATTATGGCGAATTCTCTTGAAACTTTCACTAAAGTCTGGCAATGCAAATAATATATAGTTGGAATCTATTGAGTAATAATTATCATAAATGTTTCCTTCTATTATGATATATTATTAAAATCTTAGAATATAGTACTTCAATAATTTAGCACATTTTGGACACTCAAATCTCTGGAAGCACAGATTTTTCTAGACTATAACTTCATTAATCATTCCAGTACTAATTACTCCAAAAAATACTAAAACTCCAGACAGAAAATTGGTGATTATACTAAGAATTTCATTTATAATCAATCTAATATTAGCATTTGGCAACACTTAATGAAAATTTTTATAAATTTTTACTATTGCACAAAAGTATTTTAAAAAATATTTTTAGCTGTAGATGGACATAATACTTTTATTTATTTAGTTTTATGTAGTGCTGGGGATCAGTCCTAGGGCCTCACACATGCTAGGCAAGTGCTCTACCACTGAGCCACAACACTAGCCCTGCACAAAAGTATTTTTAGGGCTTCATGAAGCGTCTTTTTTTTTTTTCTACAGGCATTAATGAGAGTATCATTCCAGAAGTGCCCTAATACCAGTCTCTTATGCTCTTACAGAGACATTTTGAAGTCAAAAGGAAAAAATATAAACATACACTCCAGTGGATGTTGAACAAACCAAAGAAGTAGCTATAGTGAAAGAGGTTTAATCAACTGCTTCACTATTACTTATCCCACCTATAAAAATCAGAACTTTATTTAATATTCATGATTTGTGTTTTAACTTCCCCATAAATGTTTTTTGAAATACAGACGTTTCACTATACAAGAGAAATTTTTAAAATAAGTTATTCTTCATCCCAATCTATGGAAGATTAGCTAATTAAACACCAAAAGACTCATTATAGTTTTGACAAAATAATAATCCTACAATGAATTCCGTGGATAACAGCATTTAAAAAAAGATCTCACAGAGTTCTGCTTCTGTTCAGAAGAAAGGTCACAACAGATAATGCTTTCATTGTAGCAGCCAAAAAATATTTGATGAACTAAACAGATTTTTTAAAACAGAAAGCCATAGCTAAAAAATAGTGTGAAAGAACAAATTCCAGAGAAAGGTAAGTTCTTCCCAAATGAACAAAGATGAATTACCACTTTCTACTTTGGGTCCTTTGCCAAGACTGAGCATATGTGGGCAAAAATCAGGTCTATTATAGGAAAGTAAGATATTCTGCTGGAAGACAGAGAATCCCCTTAATATACTCCCTTTTGGAACAGAACACTGAGATACTATTATTAAGAGATCTGGCTACCATGTTGAGAGGCCACATAGAGAGAAAGACACACTCAGTCAGCTCCCTGCTACTCCAGCTATCTGATTTGATGTACCAAATACATGAGTGAAACCACCTTGGAATTCTAGCCCTTAGTGAGTGCAAAAACATTTATCTGAATATTTCTTTTTTTTTTTTTTGCTGAAAATATTCAATTTTTATTTATTTATTTTTGAAGCAGACATCTCTCTATGTGCCCCAACTGGCCTTGAACTTCTAGGCTAAAATGATCTTTCTGCTTCAGCATTCTGAATAGCTAGGATTCTGGGCTTATGCCACCAAGTCTGGCTATGTTTCAAGTATTTAAAACTTAAAATGTTTAATTTTATTTTATTTTATTTTATTTTTTTTTTTTTTATTGGTTGTTCAAAACATTACAGAGCTCAAGACATATCATCTTTCATACATTCGACTCAATTGGGTTTTGAACTCCCCAAATACATAATACAGACTCACTTCTGTTACATACTCACATTTTTACATAATGGCATATTAGTGACTGTTGTATTCTGCTACCTTTCCTATCCCCTACTATCCCCCCTCCCCTCCCCTCCCCTCCCAACATCCCTCTCTACCTCCTCTGCTGTTGTTCAATTCTCTCCCCTTTTTTTCCCCCCACCCCCTTGCCCCTCATAACCTCTTATTATTTTGTGTATCACTGAAGGTCTCCTGACTCCAGGCAAGACCAGTGAAAGAACCACTCAATGGCCCCCAGAAATATTGCAGAACAAAGAGCAAGCAAATAGACAACTGATAGACCTTTTATTAGGGTAAACGTGTGTATTTGTGTGTGTGTGTATATATGTGTGTGTGTGTATATATGTGTGTGTGTGTATATATGTGTGTGTGTGTATATATGTGTGTGTGTGTGTTTGTGTATGGTTTACTTCCTCTCATACCATATATATATATATATTATCAAGAAAAAATGCTGCATGGTGTTAATTATAATCCAAATAACAAGAGTGTCACAGACCACAAAGTTCATTCAATGGATTTCTTTATCCAGTTATACAAAAAAAAAATCTGTGTAATAAGAATGTTGTTGACATATGATAATCACAATATTATATCAAAATTCTCTACTCCATAATTTGTCCTGTTAGACATCTTATTGATGAAGTCCTTTTCATAGTAAAACACTACCAACTGTTAAAATGAAAAGCCTCAACTGCACTATAAAATCAAAGTACAGTGCTTTCACATGGAGGCTGAAGGCGGGATGTTTTTATAGACACTATTATTAGGTTCCATCCTTTTTTCTCTGTATCAATGCTCATCTCTTACCTTCATTTTTTTCAAAGGATTATTCAGCTCTCGCTGGAATGAGGCTGCTCTTCCTGAAAGGAAGGTCTGAAAGGCAACAGCCAACAAATTTTCATACTTCTCAAGCAGTGTTTTATCATCTGGAGGATAAATTCGTCTACAAAAAAAAAATCAGATAACCCAATTTGTTTAAAAGAAGTAATCATAGCTCAATAGTTAATTGTTTAGAAAATCATTGCCTTCCTGCTCCATGCCAGTTAATATTGCTAACCGCTAGAAACAAAGATAGTTTTGAGAAGTTCACAAATATTCATATTACCCGTACAAATTGAGGCTTATCTAGAGAAGTATCGTAACACAAAGTAGTTCCAGAAGATAAGGTATAAGGGTTTGGTTCAGAGAAAGTGACTGCCATTGGTTGAATTGGTAAAATACAGAACTTTGTGGGAGAGTGTTCAGATGATGAGGGATACTGGGGAAGTTCTGACTTCATGTAGTGACTGAAGCATGCAAAAATGCAGGCATCCGCCTTAATGTTTTGGGGTGATGGAGTGAGGACTAGGTAGTGGTAGGTTGGGAAGAATGTGTTCCCCTCACGACTAAGGAGGTGGGTGCTAAGAACAGGAAAGACACCTGTAAGAAACTCTCTGCCCATACCTTCTGATGCCAATTGAAGCAAGGTCAAGCTGGCAAGGAGGGACAACCTTCCTAGAGCACAGGAGCTTAAAGGGCCTCTTTAGATCCTGTCAAGGATGATACTATGAGGGGTACCAGTTTAACACAGTCCAAACCCTGTCTCCTGTCTCTACCTGACTTCTTCAAATATTTTCTTATTTCTTCCATTTCCTTAGAATTTGAGTTTAAAGAACAGCAACCACTATGAGTTGGCAGAAAACTATTAGAACCTAAATTTCCACTTTCTTAAAATAGTGTATAATAACCAAATCCAGGCCCAGAGTGGCTGATGAAAAGGACTCCCCACAGGCCCTCCACAGGCCTGGTGGAAGGAGAGCTGGCAGGAGATTTGTCAAGTCTGAACCACTACTTGCTCACTAGCTGACTACCTTTTCTTCCTTTAAAGATATTAAGCAAAAAGCACATTCTAAGAATGAAAAGAACTGTACTTCAAGTGAGCATAAAAGGTCTAAAAATATAGAACGATTATTTGACACTTCACTTCCTTCAGTCCATACAAAAATGGCAGCAAAGTTACCTATAATTCCCCATATGTCGATTTTCATGTTCTTCTCTTGAAATCTGCTTCCGTATTTGAGCAAGTCTCTCTTTCTAGAAATAAAGAGTTTACAAATAAAACCCAATGCATGAGTCATGCAATTGAAATTGTGGGGACATTGCTAAAATGTTCGTACCAACTCTTCTTTCCGCCTCTCCAGTTGGTGTCTCTGCTGTTCCCAATCTGAGGAACCTGGTAAGAGTCTTTTTATTGAATTTTGACCATAAAGCCTCTTTTGAGCCTCAGCTTTTTGTTTGGCCAAGTTTCTCCTTTTATCGCTGGTCCTAAAATATGAAACACAAGACCATATGCTAGAATTCAAACAAGTTCTGATCTTATCCTATGAGTAGTGCAGATTGAAATCAAAGTTGATTTTGTATATTCACATATATTCATCTAATCACCCACCAAATATGGAACTCTGCATGGTAAACAGATGATACCAAGATAAAATAGAAACACTATGTGCTTGCTTGAAGAGTCAGAGAGTCCCAGGTTGATATTCCATACTAACACCTTGGCAGCTATACAATCTGACACTGGTCGATTAAGTGCTAAGTCTATTTCCCACATATTTTTTATTAAAAATAATAATGTTTCCCTCCTAGAAATCTTATAAAAATCACTTGTGGTGC